TTCCCTCTCTCTATGTCTGTCTCTGACTGGTAAGCACATGCACCCTATAACAAAAACTAGGGGGGAGTGGGGAAGGGAAAGGGGGAAAAAAGAGTTTAGATTTGTCCAAAATTTACAGAATAAAGAATTTTGCCTTTGACGTTGTCTGAATAATGTTCTTTTAGATGTGCCTGGTACCATTCTAGAAGAGGGAGCGATGACCACCAACTGAAGTCCTTGCATCCTGGAGCTTATCACGTAGAGAAGGGAGTGTACTCCAAACCAGCTAATGAATGGTGCAGCACGTGGCAGTGCTATCTATCTCACCATGTTGTAGAGAGGACTAGGTGAGAGGGGCCAGCAGGCAGCATGGTGGTTATTTTTTTTTCCCACTTTATTTTTCTTAGTTTGATATAGGGCGTATGTACTCACCAGAGACTGAGAGAAAGAGATAGAAAGAAAAAGTGAGAAATCACTCCCCAGAGTGACTGACCATGCCACAATCCATTTCCTTCCATTTTCCTCTTAGGATTTTGGGCAGGCACATACAGCCACCCAGCATGATTTTCAAGCCACCTGGTTTAGGACTCGAACCGCCTAGTCAGCCATATGGGATCCAGCCACTGTAACCTCTGTGTCATGTGCTGGCAACAGACTTACATTTTTATCACTGTAGTATTTGTTTGAATGGGGAAGCAGTGTCACTGTGGTTCTTTAAAACAAAGCAAAGTAAAAAAATGTTTTGTCTTAGAAAAGGCAGGTTCATAGTTTCCTGGAAAAGAAAATAATCTTTACTTGTGTTGGGATGTTTTAGTTTGGTTTTGAAAACTGATAGAATTCTCATCATAGAAGTGAAAAGATACTCTTAGATTAATTTAGAGCCCTGTTCTTATATTAAGTATCTTATAAAGTTGACTGGATACCAAGCTGTTTATATTGATACAAGTTCATTCTTCATGTGCAGTTGACACTTGCTTGACATTGGTAATGAGGGATTTTCAGTAGCCTTTGAAGGCTGTTATACTTGCTTCCTTTTGAAAAGAAAATTTTATTTAGAATCATACAAAACAGATAAGACAACACAGATTTATTTTGGGAAGGTAAATCCAGGTTTCTTAATTGTCTGAATTTCCTTAAATTCAACCTCTTTACATTTCTGTTCTTTAGGTCTGCCAAAATGTCTGAAAGATCAGATCTCCTTCACTTCAAGTTTGAAAATTATGGAGATTCAATGTTACAAAAAATGAACAAATTAAGAGAAGAGAATAAATTTTGTGATGTTACAGTTCTCATAGATGATATTGAGGTACAGGGGCATAAAATTGTGTTTGCTGCAGGTTCCCCCTTCTTAAGAGACCAGTTTTTACTGAATGATTCCAGAGAGGTGAAAATCTCCATATTACAGAGTTCCGAAGTGGGGAGACAATTGCTTTTATCCTGTTATAGTGGTGTGCTGGAATTCCCTGAGATGGAGCTGGTAAATTACTTGACTGCTGCGAGTTTTCTTCAGATGAGCCACATTGTAGAACGGTGCACACAGGCCCTGTGGAAGTTTATAAAGCCAAAACAACCAATGGATAGTAAAGAGGGATGTGAACCACAGAGTGCTTCTCCCCAGTTAAAAGAACAGCAGGGAGATGCCAGAGGCTCTCCAAAGCAGGACTCACCTTGCATTCATCCATCTGAAGACAGTATGGATATGGAGGACAGTGATATTCAAATTGTTAAGGTAGAATCTATTGGGGATGTATCAGAGGTTAGAAGTAAAAAAGATCAGAACCAGTTTATTTCTTCTGAACCCACTGCTTTACATTCATCAGAGCCCCAGCACTCCCTGATAAATTCAACTGTGGAAAACAGAGTAAGTGAAATAGAGCAAAACCATCTCCACAATTATGCCCTCTCTTACACAGGCAATGATAACATCATCATGGCCTCAAAAGATGTCTTTGGGCCTAATATTCGAGGTGTAGACAAAGGCCTACAGTGGCATCACCAATGCCCAAAGTGTACTAGGGTGTTTCGTCACCTGGAGAACTACGCCAACCATTTAAAAATGCACAAACTCTTTATGTGTCTACTCTGCGGCAAGACTTTTACTCAGAAAGGCAACCTTCATCGACACATGCGTGTGCATGCCGGAATTAAACCTTTCCAGTGTAAAATATGTGGGAAAACCTTTTCTCAGAAGTGTTCCTTACAGGATCATCTTAACCTTCACAGTGGCGATAAGCCCCATAAATGTAACTATTGTGACATGGTTTTTGCACATAAGCCAGTTTTGAGGAAACACCTTAAACAGCTGCATGGCAAAAACAGCTTTGATAATGCAAATGAGAGAAATGTGCAAGACCTCACAGTGGATTTTGATTCTTTTGCATGTACAACAGTCACAGACTCCAAAGGGTGTCAGCCACAGCCTGATGCGACACAGGTCCTGGATGCAGGTAAACTGGCCCAAGCTGTCCTGAACTTAAGGAATGATAGTACTTGTGTGAATTGAGTAGGGGCTTCATGCTCACAACCAGAACTGACTGAGAATGTGGCAATAGTCTGAGTCTTTTTAGGAGTGATTTTGCTAGTTTGACTTGTCCAAAGCCTCTGTGAAGGTGGTAAGGAGTGAGTCAAAGCACTAACAGACCAGGCAACTTAACCACTTGGAGTGGTTTTTGCCTTCTTTTTGCCCTTTCCCATTTCTGTTTTGAATTATTTATCCTGTGATGTCTGTTTTCCTTTCCCAAGGAATAGTTTGTCTTCCATTTGTCTACCTAATGTTGACTTATGTCTTAGACTGACACAATTTTAGGCTTTTCACCATGTACATTGTGAAGGTACCAACAAGTTAATATCACCTACTCTCCAGTAACCAATGCAATGCTAAGAGAAGTAAATAATATTTTTCCTTGGCATAAAATAGGTTGAGATATAAGGTGACATTGTGATGGACCTAAATATGAAATAGAACTTGTGGTTACTTATTGATAATTTATCCATGCTTGATAAATGAATGAATTTGTTTCCTACTATCAGTACTTGTCTTGGTGCTGACTATAAAGAAGTCTGTTGGTTTGGTTTGGGCTCTTTAATGGTATCATAGCCCACCTTTACCTCATTGAATTTATACAGATCACAATTCAGTCTTTGCAGCCACACCCACAGACAAATAGGGATCATCATGAGGAGCATAATCAACAAAGAATAACAGCACTTACGTGGCAATTTTTTTTGGTAAAATATTCCACCAAGAGGCCAGAAGCTTCTAATTAATGAGTAACATACTTGTTGATACTTTTGAAATCAGGATTGCTCCAAGGATACTTAAAATGTGCTAAAATATCATGGTCTCTCTAAAAAGAGGCTACTTGGGAGCCTCTGAACTTTGTTTCAGAGTTTAGTTTTCAGAGAGGTGAGTTTGGCCATCCAGAGTTCTCTCCAGTGCATTATTAGAAGCTTTGAATTTTCATTTCCTTGTGTACCTTAATTTCTAAAATGGATGAAAAAATTAAGTGGGATGCAGAGTATTCCTCTTAAAGGTACATCATGGTATTCCTCTTAAAGGTACATCATGCCACCTTGCCGTCTTTGCTAGATCACTAATAGAAAGTTGATCTTCCCCTTTGGACAAACAAAACAATTGGTTTTCCTAAAACACATATTATTCTTCAGACATAAAATTTTGAGTCTTATTTGCTTCTGAACCATGAGTTAGATTTAGGTATTAGGAGTGTTAGCATCCCTAGAGAATCTTAAGGGATCGTTTTTTTCCACCTCTTTCATCTTAAGTTGGGGAATTCAAAGCCCAAAGAGGTGTTGTGGCCAAGATATGGCCAAGGTAGGTAAATGACTAAATAGAAATTAATGTCTCCTTAGTTCTTCCTCCTATCCCTTTGCATAAAAAGACTTAGTACATGAAGAAGAATAACACATTAGCAAAAATCTTCCAGTTTATGTTTTCACCTTTGTATTTCTTATTTCGCTTTCTCAGGAAGCCTAGATTTTTGTCAACAAAATATCCAGAGGAATATTTAAGTTAATCACTTTTTAGATGAGTATTACATTCTTCCCAAGCAAATGATTAATTTGCTGGGTATTGTTAAGGAAGGAAAGGGCAAGTAAGAATAATGTGAGAAAGATACAAATGTGAAATTGATTTTGTCTGGGAAAGTGTTTATTTAGTTCCCATCAGGATTTTCTGTTTTTATTCTTAAGCTATGAGATTGCATGCACAGATAAACCAAAAATTAGGCTTAATTTGTATAGTCAAGGGAATTCTTGTTATAATTTGATACATTTACTGTGAGTACAATTTGAGCTATATTTTCTCTTTTGTTCTAATATTAAAATGAGAATACACTGAATAAGACGACCAATGATACCTTATGCCTAGTGTTACTCATTTTGTGATCTAATGATATCTCCTAGCATTCTGGTTTTTGTACGATCCAGCCAAAGAGTACCAGTGTTATACAAGGGCATTTTTGGCATTTTCTCAGAACGTGATTTCTTCACAGGGAAATTTCAAGTTGGAGTGATTCCTTTGCTCACATTTATGATCTATTTTTATTACTGGTTTGAAAATTCAAAGGCATGGTTCAAAGATGATTGATTGGTCTCTGGCCAAGACTGATCTCTGGTTGGAGACTATTTCTGGGTTCATTTACTCATTCAAGAAACATTTAGTAAGCATCTACGTCGCTAAACATTGCTAGATATTGAGGATGTGCAGGTAAGCTTGACAATATCCCTGCCCTCATGGAGCTTATAGTCCCATAATGTCTAGAACAAGGTTTTAATTTAATGTTATACTTGGAATAATAAAACTGCCTTGCTTTCTTTGATCACTTAAAATCAGCATCATTTTTTAGTTTTGTAAGAGTATATTTTTAGTTCTCAACTTTTGCAAATTGAAACTACCCAAGTGATACATAGTTTCCTCCATTTCTTGACTACAGAGATGTTCCTTTCTGAGACATTTTCTTAATTTGGGTAGGTGGGACTGGGCTTTTCTCCGTTGCTTATATATGTTTCTTAGATTATATTGCAAAGAGGTCAAGGTATTGATGACAAGTACATTTTATAAGGGAAAATGACTTTTCATACCAGTCATATTCCTATAAGGGAGGACAGTTTTTAAAACTTTAGTCAGTCAACATTTTATTTTATGGATTCCCAGCATCACTAAAAAGGAAAGATTATCTTTATTAGTTTTTTTTTGTTTTATTATTATTACTGACTCAAGTTATTTATTTATTATTTAATTTTAAAGACAAACTCCAAACTGAAGTGGCTCTGAGATAAATCAGATGTGGTTTTGTTTCCCTTTCTTTATTAGGAGATCTATAAATGGAAGGTGATGTATCACCACATCTAAAATATTGTCCTAAACAACCCAGAACATTTTATTTCAGCTCATGAATAGCTGTTCTAAATCTGTTGTATGTTAGACATACTACGAACTACCTCTTCACTTATTATGGGGAAGTTTCCTTAATAAAAGTGTCACAAATTGAAGCTCTGGTGTCAGTGGTTTATTTTCTCACTCTCCTCCTTCCTGCTTTCCTTTTTAATTATTTGAATTCAGACATTCCATCTTCATGTCTGTTGTTCTTTAAAATACATGTAGAGCATGTGGAGCTTGCCTTCGGAAAAAAATATGGGTTAACCAGAATTATTTGTTGCAGTTACTTCCATGTGAACTTGCTGTCTGAGGGGGTAGGGCAAGCACTTTTAAACTTTGTTCGGCTTATCTCCATTGTTGGGTGATGCACATAGCAGGCCCTGGTTCAGTTCCAGAGGCCCAACCAAAGTAGGCCAGGCCATTGGCCTGTGGTCCTATGTAACTGGGAAGCTCGAGCCAGACAATCAAGATGCTGTCAGATCTCTCTCCCTCATACTGTCTTGTTCTGTTAAAAACAAAACAGTACAAAACAAAACAAACGAACAAAAAACAAAAAGAACTGGTTCACACATGCCTTAATTAGGCACATACTTGATGCCTACTAAGTGCTAGATTAAGAAATGCAAAGTCACTGTCCTAAATACCTCTGTCTAGGTGGGGCACAAATAATTTCAATACAGGTGTAATAAGTGCAATAGTGAAGGCAGATAAAGAGATTATAGGTTTCCAAGTAGGAACTAATTTAGGTGCAGTTCAGGATGACTTCCAGGATGATGTGATTTATAAACGGAAGCATAAGACATGTCAGAGGAAACATCTGGGCCAGTGGTCTGGAACTGGGGGAGAGGCTGGTGCATCCAGATACAGAAGTTGGAGCAAGATACTGATGACAGGTAATCTTGAACACGGATCCCTTATTTATTATTATTATTATTTTTTTTTTTTTGGAGAGGTTTCTCGCTATAGGGCGCTTGTGCTCGCCAGACAGACAGAGAGAGACATAGAAAGCGAGAAATCACCCCCCAGGGGGGAAGGTCAGGCCGCAATCCCTTCTCCATTCTCCTCTCGGGATCTTGGGCACGCACGCACACGCGCCCGGCGTGAGTTTTAAGCCTTCGGGTGCGGGACGCGAACCGCGGTCGACTACTACGTGGGAGTTCAGCGACATAGTCATTCCGCTAACTGCTGGTTCCCACAGATCCCTTATCATAGTCTCCTGCCACTTTCAAGTTGTAGGTGGCGCTGTAAAGGGAGGGCCGTCCCATAATAATGCGTTAGGGACTTCAGGGGGTCCCGTTGCTGAGTACTCTTGACAGCTGTGCCGCAAACCAAATTCACACCACGTATCTAATTGTATGATATTCGGAAGGACTCACGAAGGAGAACAGTACGCGTGACAGGAGAGAAGGGGCCGGTCCATATTCATGCCATTCTAGGAAGCGAGGAAAAGTGAGTCTCAGGATGTTCTTCCGGGGCACTGAGACGCCTCTAGTGAAGAATCGTTGACACCGGATGTGTTTCTTCCCAGGATAAATACACCTTCCGGCCGGGCCGCTGCCTCGGAACCCTCAACTCTAGTTTTCAGAGTCGGTAAGAGCGCGCGAAAGCGATTTGGCAGGTTGGGAGGCCAGAGCAAAAGGAGAAGCAGGTGGAGGAGGGCAGCTGGGCGCGGCCCCGGAGTGGCGCATCAGGTGCTGCAAGCAGTTGGCCGACAGGGCATTGACCCTGGCAGGCTTCGCTTGGGAAGATCTGTGTACGAAGCTGGAGGGATCTTCCAGGCCACCTGGGATCCGGTTTCAGTGCAACAGATGTTCCCTGAGCTGGATGCAGAAACAGATGGACACAATCTCGCGGTGTTCTGGAAGCTAATGACTGCTGTTGGGGAGATAGGAGGAGGAATCACCTCGGTCTTACTTATTTGGGCTTAAAGGAGCAAAATCGTGAGCTCTTGGGTGGTAGGGGAGAAGGGTGATGGGGAAAGCTGGGAACGAAAAAGAATATAGAGAGGTGAAGCCATAAAGGTGGATTAGGATGTATTTTCGTAAGAACGTTAGGCTGTATTGGAAGTAGAGGAGAGCAGATAGAATATTTAAAATGAAAAATGTAATTTTTTTAAAAAGAGAGGTTTTTTTTTTACTATAGGGCGCTGCGCTTGTCAGAAAAACGGAGAGAGACAGACAGCAAGAAATCACACCCCTCCCCCCCATGGCCATGTCACATTCCCTTCCTTCATTCTCCTCCTCTTGGGATCTTGGGCTCCCATGCATACATGCCCCGTGCTTCGTGTGAGTTCAAGCCACCTGGTCCAGGACTGTAGCCCCATTTGGCCATGTTGGAGTCCAGCACCTTAATGACCATGCCACTTGCTGGCCCCTACATTCAGGTTTCTACTTTGGGATACTATATTAAGTATACGTTGTGGTAATCAATGTATTTGTTATTTAATATTCAACTCTTACAGTTTTCTTAGCCAAGAGACTCAGAAACTTTAGTACAACTCAGTGTAAAAGATGCTATAATAAAAATTTGAAAACTGTGCCATGGGAACATAGAGAAATGTATTTCAGTTTTCTGAGTTGAAGTGGTATAAGCACCCAAATTGTTTTCTCAGCTCAGATTTGGGGTGTTTTGTGTTTTACTATCACAGCACGGGAAGGCATTCCCTGCTTTACATCAGTGCTTGCATTTTATTTTCTTTAGATTGTGACCATGGCTGCTGAGTCTGATGTTCTGCACTTCCAGTTTGAACAACAAGGAGATGTGATCTTGCAGAAAATGAATCTTTTAAGACAACAGAATTTATTTTGTGATGTATCTATTTATATTAATGACACTGAATTTCAGGGGCATAAGGTGATTTTGGCTGCTTGTTCCACTTTCATGAGAGATCAATTTTTACTCACACAGTCAAAACATGTCAGAATCACTATCTTGCAGAGTGCAGAAGTTGGCAGGAAATTGTTGCTCTCTTGCTATACTGGAGCACTTGAAGTTAAGAGGAAAGAACTTTTGAAATACTTAACTGCTGCCAGTTACCTTCAGATGGTTCACATTGTGGAAAAGTGCACAGAAGCTTTGTCAAAATATCTGGAAATTGATTTCTCCATGAAAAATAACAGTCAGCACACTGACCTTTGTCAATCTTCTGATCCAGGTGTTAAGAATGAGGAAGAAAATTCTGATAAAGACTGTGAGATAATTGAAATTTCAGAAGACAGTCCTATAAATGTAGATTTCCATGTCAAAGAAGAAGAAAGCAATGTTTTACAGCATCCAGCAGAGAGTTTGACATCCGAGAGGAAGTCACCAGAGCTGTCTACAGTAGATACAGGAGATACAGGTTATAAAGACAATGAAATTTGTATCCTCCATGTAGAATCTGTCAGTACAGCTGATGTAGAAAATGGGCAGTTTTCACCACCTTCTACTTCTTCAAAAGCAAGCATGTATTTTTCTGAAACACAGCATTCATTGATCAATTCTACAGTTGAGAGCAGGGTGGCAGAAGTTCCTGAGAATCAAGGTCAGGGCTTATTTTGTGAGAATCTTGAGGAAAGTAGTGGTGTAGTAAATGAGATTCAGAATCTGGAGGAGGGTTATTCACTGAGGCACCAGTGCCCCAGGTGTCCTCGTGGCTTTCTTCATGTTGAAAACTATCTGCGCCATATTAAGATGCATAAACTGTTCTTGTGCTTACAGTGTGGGAAAACATTTACACAAAAGAAAAACCTCAACCGTCATATTCGAGGACACATGGGCATACGACCCTTTCAATGTTCTGTGTGCTTAAAGACATTTACTGCTAAAAGCACGCTTCAGGACCACTTAAACATACACAGTGGGGATCGGCCATACAAATGCCACTGTTGTGATATGGATTTCAAGCACAAATCTGCTCTCAAAAAGCACTTAACCTCTGTCCATGGCAGAAGCAGTGGTGAAAAATTACCTAGACCTAATCTCAAAAGGCAAACTCTACTATAATTAGAATCACAGATTTGCTGTATAAACCGTAGATCATTCTGTTCTGCAAGTCTTTCTACGGAAATGCAGCATTTGTGATAATCCGTTCTTCTCTCCCCCTGCCACTATCTAAAGGTCTTATTTTTGGTCTGCTTATACATATTTCTGAATTTCTAACAGTCTCAAAATTGTGAGAGGAATTATAAAGCTGATGGGATTCTGTCACGTCTCATATGTAATATTTAAATCCCATGGTTTATCTAGAGAAATAGTGTTCCGCTCTTATATTTTCAGTTCTGGTGAGAAAGGGTCCAGCAGTATTCACAGATTCTGGTTTGGAGTCTAGATAATTGATTTAAGTGCAGAATCCAACCTGTATAATAACCTTAGTGAATTAGGGTAACAAGAGAAAATAAATTTAAATACACACTGTTACTAATCGCTTTAAGAATGGATAGCATTTTAATCAAATGCTCTTGAATTCTTTTCATTCTTTTATTTTCCTTTATAAGAGAGAAGGGAGAGAGAGAGAGAGAGACAGGTATTTTTGGCAGAGTCATCATGTTGCAATTGTGTTTCTTCCTGTCAAGTAGCTTAGAATTCCAGGCATGTTAACTTAGCCCTGGTAACAAGCCAGGCCCCCATGCATGTTCCACCTTCCTCAATAATGGCATTTTCTGTGTACCACTGCAGCTACACCCTCTTGGGTTCTAAACACTAAGGTACCTGTTGTTTTAAACTGTAAAGGAAGACAATTTGGATTCACTTGGGAGAGGCCAAATTCCTTATAATGGGTTAATAGTCCTTAGAATATGTTTATTTCCATGAGATATTAGTATACAGATTTTAGAAATAATTGGGACCTAATTTCTTTTTTTTTTTTTTTTTAAGAGGTTTTTCCTTAGGGTGTGTGCACTTGCAATAAAGAGAAATAGACAGTGAGAGAGAAAGTGAGAAATCAGCCCCCAGGGGGGATGGCCACACCACAATACCTTCTACATTCTTCTGGGATCTTGGGTACGGACACACACGTGACCAGCGTGAGTTTCAAGCCACTGGGTACAGGACTTGAACTGTAGGCAGCCATGTCGCAGTCCAGTGATGTAGCTATGCCATATGCTGAACTTGGACCCTAGTTTCTTGATTTCATTGAATACAATTGGAGTTCATAATTTTTTTGGCCAGTAAAATACCATTGACATGAAGTTTATTATTGCCAGAGGGTACATGTGCTCACCAGAGCGAAAGAGGAAGAGGGGAGAAAAGACCATCTGCTGGTCCCATCATTTTTTTTTTTTTTTTAAGAGGTTTTTGACTTAGGGCATGTGCACTCACTAAGAGAAACAGAAACAGTGAGAGGGGAAGTGAGAAATTACCCCCCAGGAAGAATGGCCACACTGCAGCCCCTTCTTTATTCTCCTCCCAGGATCTTAGACACCCATGCACAAGTGCTTAGGGTGGTTTTCAGGTCACTGGATTCAGGACTCGAACAGTGGTCAGCCATGTGGGAGTCTAGTGATGTAACCACTATGCCATCTGCTTGCCCCACCCCATATTTCTTTTTTAATGTTCCTCTTTATCTTTTAGCTAATATGTATTAAAATTGACCTTTATTTCTGATCTATAGTTCTATGAATTTTAACGTGTACAGGTTTGTGCACCACTACTGCAGTCAAGATACAAAACTTTTCTGTCACCATCCCTCCACACACAAAAAAACAACTCCCTCATGTTGCCTCTTTGTGATCAATCTGGAAACAGTTCTCCTTTCCTATAATTTTGCCTTTTCTGGAATGTGAATGTCACATAATGGAATGTTCCTTACAGCATGTTCCTTTTGGAGATGATTTTACTCAACCAGTATTAATTCTTTTGAGGATCATCCATGTTCTATGTATCAGTTGCTCATTCCCTTTTTATTCTGAATTAGCAATATAATTTAGCTTTAGCTATCACTGGGAGAACTGTTTAAACATAAGTAGCTATTAGTGTGAATTATGAATTATAATTTTACATCATCATTAATGCAATTTACATTCACTCTTTGTCGACAAAGATTTTAACCATCCCTATAATTGTATTCTGTATTTCCAAGGAAGGCCATAAACAAAATCATGATTGCACGATTATTTCAGTGAGACTAATATTTCAAATTGTGTTCTGAGCCATAGCGTTCAGATATCCCCTGCCTACATATAATACAAAACTTGTTATAACAAAGATTATATTGCAGGACAAAGCATATTCTTTAAAACACAGGGACTGTTTACTTTACAAAGAAGCCTGACTGGCTGCATCTTTTCTTTCAAGTTGTCATATTTTTCTCTTCTATATACTTACCTCAGCTTTATGTAGAATTTGTACTGTATTTTGTTTCTATTGAAGCCCTTCCATATTTTAACATGTAATATAATTTCTACCATTTATAAGAATTTTGTGAAGAATCACATGTTGATATAAACATTATATATCCTTTTTGTGATACTTTTTTGGGAAAGATACAGAATTTTTAATCTGGGAGAGACTTTAACAAATCCATATCTCATATTTAATGAGAAGACTTTATAACCCAGATCACTAGTTAGTCACATTGGGCAAGTCACCTCTCCTTGAACTTTTCTTAACTTTATATGTGAAATAACTTGGATCTTAATAATGTGAAACATAATTTCTAGGTCAGAAATTCTATGACTTTATATGTAATTCTTCCTGAGAACAGAGAAGAGCAAAAGGCCAGGGAGGAGTTTTGTGTCTTCATACATTTATTTGAATACTCCATTGGTGACAGAATTTTTCTGAAGTAAATAGACCCCCCCCCATACTCACATTGGAGTGTATGATAGCTCAGTGCTCAATTTTGTTTCCCATTTGACTTAAGATTGCCCATTTGCAGTTGCAAAAATATTTCCCTTTCAGAAATAGTTTACTGTGACTAAATATTTTTCTTATTTTTGTTTCCTAGGATGGAATTTGTGGTGGGGAGGAGTAAGGATGGGATGAGAGCATAAAAGAGTAGTAACAATCATTTTTTTTTAGGAATTCATATCTACTATCTTGGATGTTTAAAAAAAAGTTTTGGTTGAAACTATGTTTAAGTTTCATGTGTGCCTTGTAAGGTTGTTGTAAACATTTTTGTGAACATTTTGAGGTTTTTGCTTCAGATTGGTGTTTTGTGAAAGTGATGGTTATCATTAATATTTATATTATTTATTCCTGTGTCATAGTACAGTGTGATCACAAAACATTCCTAGGAGAGTATCTCTTTGCATGATGTGTCTAAAAAATTTCAGGAAAAGTGGGATATTTTAAAATGCAGGTATGCCTAAGTCAAGGGTAGAATTTGTTCATTTACTTTTAATTGTGATTTTTGACATGCTAGAAAATTGCAATATGTTTGAGTTCAGTCTTCATTTACTGCATTTACATATAAAAGATCTTGAAAAAGTAGTTGTTACTTTGTTGTAAGAGAAAATTCTTGCCCTTTTTCCTTGGATGTAACTATCATAAATGTTTACATAAATAAACTGGAGGTGGGAAAGGAAAACCTTTTGTTTTGCCTATGTCTGTGAATTTTAAACAAGGACACAGTTTCTCCTGGGCATTTAGTCATTCATTCAACAAATATTACTGAATCCTTGTAATGCATACATACCTGTAAATTATACGGGCAAACATTCCTGGTCTCATTAAACTTATATTCTAGTGGAGGGAGGTAAATACTGTGTTGTTGGGAAAATCATGAAGCACTTGCATAGAGAAACAAAAATAGGTCATGACATATTATTATCATTGTCTCCCAATGACCTAATAGTAAATTAATGAGTAAAATCAGTGTATATCAGGTTGGAGAATGGACCTGGAGAAAAATAAAACAAGTATAGGAAGTGCAGGAAAGGAGGAGGCAATATTAAAAGTATGAGCAGGCCGTTTTTGAAAATTTTTCAGTGTCACGTATATCTAGATACAGTCCAGTGTCCAGTGGAGTCAGAAATATATATGGGAAATGTATGTAGATATATTAAAGTGACCATCTCTGTCCTGTTGAAATTCATGAACAAACGAACCAGTGGTTATTGGAAACATTTTCTTGGATTGCATATATTTCATAAAAAGGAAAAAATGGAAATGGTGACGCATGGAAGAAAAGTCTTTGAAGGGGTCAGTGAATCTCCTCCAAAACACTGATCTTTTTCTGTCATATGGGCTGTAATCATATTTTCAAAAGCTCATTATAATTTGTAAGCCACTTTTCCATATTATAATTTTTGGTAAATTTACTTTCATTGATCTTTTTGTTGGACATAGAGTTTTTCATTGGGATGTTCTATCATTTAATTACAAGCCATATCCATTTTTTTCTTTTTTTTCCCCTCAATAACAAAGGATACATGGTATCTGCCTTTTAAGAATGCTTAAGTGAAAATAATATGAAAATTAATAAAATACAAATTTAATTTCACCTAAGAGAACCTGGCTAGTATGTAGTTCATGAATGTTAATTCCCTGACCCCTATTCCCAGTCTATTTCTTTGTCTATAAAAACAGCAAGCATGATTACTACTTCACACTTTGCTGTGAAAAGTCCTTCAGTACTTATAATGCCTAAGTTTGTGCTTAAATTTTGATTTTTGCCAACTTTCGAGCTCAGGATTTCTCTTTAATAAAAAAAAAAAGTGTGTGGAAATGCCTACTGAATAGTGTTGGGTTTTTTGGGCTTTTTTTCTTCCTTTTATAATTGGGAAATTATTTGGCACTTATGTGGAGGGATTGAGGGATTTCTTCAAGGGAGAGTGAAGTAGATAGTAGCACAGGTGTATCTGAAACTGCTCATGTATACCAGGCTCTTCGATACTGCGTTTTTTTTTTAATGGGAGTCAGACGCTGGCTCAAACCAGGCTCTAGGAGGCCGGCTCAAGGCGCAGAGGAATGCGCAGGGAGTTTCCCATCAACCCCTTCGGCCAGCATAATCCTCCTCACAGCACCTCCCACAGTGCTCCAGGGCTCCCTCATCACGTGACGGGGTCGCCGTTCGACCAGAGGGAAGCTGATACGCAGTTCAGGTGGCGGGGGTTACTACACTTCCTTTACACTTCCCTAACTCCCGGGCTTGCGTAATCTCGCGTGACGTGAGGAGTATCTTCTCGCGAGAGCTAGCTCGGGATCCCTCCAGGTCCGCCTCCGTGGTGAGGAGGAGGAGAGGAAGGAGGCGGAGGGAGGAGGAGGAGGAGGCCCCGGGGCGGCCTTCG